CCCCCCCCATCTCCCCCTTTTTTTTCTCTCCTCCAGACAAAATTGCTTACACAGTACATATTAAATCTAGGCAAGTATGATCCCAACTATGACATTAGGGACCGTACAAGATTTATTAGGCAGCTGATCGTGCCGAATGAAAAGAGTGGAGCCTTGAGCAAGTATGCAAAGAAAATCTTCCTAGCCCCAAAGCCAGCGCCCGTACTCGAGTCGGCGTTCAAAGGTAAAGAAATATAAAGTTTTAATGGTAGGAAAAAAAAGCCAAATTAAAATGGTTACCGTAGACACTAGCTGGAAGGCCTATAAATTCTGGCCATTTTCCGTCAGCGCTTTGCCATTTGCTCTTTATCTTTCTTTTAACTGCACATAATAAAGTCAAGAAGAGGAGTTACTGCTTTTTCATGTCTGCGGTTTTATTACCCATTTTAATCCGTTTTGAATTTCCCCTTTCTGCAATCAGCCCTGTGAACATATAATTTTAAAAAGAGTTGTTAATTGTCAAGTAGGGATACTCATTTAGGGGTAGATTATTCGAATTATGGTCAGATCTATTTGTTTTTTTTACCTTGGCCATGCAAATTGTGTGTCAATCCCCTCCTTTGTTCACTTAAAATAATCATTATTCTTGAGTTTCCATGTAATGTGCAATGTAGCTGAAGAAAACAGTTTTATTTTTATTTTTAGTGGAGCAGGAGCTTTGTATGGATAGAATCGAAGTAGAAAATATTCAGATTGCTTCTCCCCCACGCTTGTGTTGTTGAGATGGTATCCCCTCCTCTCTTTTTTTTTAAATAACAGGGCTGCCATCAGCACATTGCAGTAAGGTCACGAAGGTTGTGAGCTCCAGCTCGGCTCATAATAAATATATAAATTGCAATGTTAATTCCTACCTTTTGGGGAAAAGAAACCCTCTTCAACGAGGTAGAGACGAGCTCTGTTTCCAGGAAAAAAAAAAACATTAAAATTCTGGATGAGTTTGTGCCAAGACATGTATGCGGATTGTTTAACTGCGCTGTCATTCTTAATATTCACAGTAAAGTAATTTTTAGAGAAGCTACATTTCAGAGCAACACCTCTAAACACACTGACTGATTAGCTTTTTTATTGACCATTATGGGGAAGATTATTGTAATCTATGGGCTGAAATCAGTTTTTTGACCTATTAGGAGCCTCCTTAGTTTGTATTTATACCATGACATTTGAGATAATATAGTGCCAATTACTACAAGTCCTGATTAAGATTGCACTGTGTGACATTGGGCTCATGTTATTTATTATTGCATTCATTTCCCCCCCTTTAATAGATAGGGATCGCTTCCAGCTTGGCACACTGTCTCACTCCCTTAATACCAAAGCTGCGGGATACCTGGAGCTGTCTGACTGGCCCGAGGTGGCCCCAGACCCGTCTGTCAGGAACGTAGAGGTGGTGGAGCCGGTATGAACACTTTTCCTGGATCCAGATGGAACTCTTTGTATTTCACCTCTTTCAAAGCACCTTGCTTTATGGTCTTTATGGTTCTTATGGAGTAGTGCATTCAATGAATAACTTAATTGAAACTAATGGGGAAAAAAACTGCTGATTAAAGTGTTTTAGCCCTTTTTCATTTCTGAAATATGCAAGTTGGGAAAAAAAATCTATCTTCCAGACCAGGTCTCTGTTCATTTTAGCAGTGCACATTGAGTACAGTCATGCCCATTGTTGAATGTTTTTCACCTTGAATTTTTTATTATTCTTAAAATGTTATTCTCTGTCCCTGGAGGCATCATGGATGTTATTTAAATAATGATATCTGCGTGTACAAAACTGGCTTCTTTGTCCCAGTCATTAGACTCACATCATGTACTTTATATAGTGAGAGTGTGTATTGTATGACAATGAAAAAGAAAATTATATCTCCTGTAATGAGCTAATCACAGGTGAAATTTAAGTCTAGTGTTTTTTTTTTCCCTTAAGTGATTAAGAGATGTTTTATAACCAATATGGCTTTTTCCTGACTGCATTGTTACAAATGTTACACTAAGTTTTTTGTGAATCATTTGTTCACACTGAAATATTTTCTTCCCATACTTCTTGTGCATCTTAAACATAAGAACCATTGCATGCTGCTTTGTTTTGTTTAACTTTGACCATGCTTTTGAAGCAAATAATGTATATCTAGACATTGGTTATTTTCTCAAACCAAAAACATTGCTGAACCTCTGTGATACTTTGCCAGGAACATATAAGAACATATATGTCAGGAGTTTAAAGCAATCCTTCATTTTCAAAATCAAAATGCAGATGTTTAGCAATACTTAGGTAACCAGTTCTAAGCGCGAACATTGGTATAAACCAATTGAGTAATTGTAATTGAGATCTAGCAGTTAAAAGCCAGCTGCATATCTGCTGCTTAACTGTGGGAGAAAGAATGACTTATGCCTAAGAAGCATGGTTAAGGGTTTTCCTCAATGTTGTATACCTGAATAGAATTGACTAATGGTAGCAAATGGCATGTATTAGTTGTTTGTACTTAAAGAATAGTTAGTTCCAAGAAAGAAACTATGTGTTGGATTTCAGTGACCTTGCATGCTTCTTTCTCTTTGTGCAGTTAAAAGAATGGGCACCTTCGGCAGGAAAAACAAAGGCTTCCAAGCAGGGTGACAAGTTCTACTCGGATTCTGGGGAGGAGGAGGAGGAGGTCTCAGGGAGTGGCAAGAGCAGCGATGACAGTAGCAGCCATGGTAGGTGTCAAAACAGGATTTACTTTTAAACTAAAGGAAGTATGAAATTTGCAAGAAAACATAATGTGTCAGGCAAACTGTATCCAGGATATTGGAGATCTGATTCCCATTTATTGCAGATTGGCTGGAATTGCCATAACTAAGCAATTTATGTTCAAGTAAAAGCATCTGTGTGTGTAGCTTTTTTGTGCACTATTTTTGCTTGTTTTTCTTGTAGAATCAGCCCAATATCCACCTCTGAAATGTTCTTTTAACCCTACTGACCGCAGTTCCTGGAAAAATGTTGGAGTGCCTTATTGGAGTGTTCAGTTATCTGTGCATTGGGTTATTAGTAGCATGTCAGTATGTTCAGTATCCTTATGATTTAACAAATCATGCTTTGTTGGTGGAGATTGAATCCTGTGTCGTGGAGATATCTTGCTAAAATTCATGGCCACCGTTTGGCAGGTTTTTAAGCTTTGAAGATCTCGCCTTGTTCTGTAGTACAGTTTCCTGCAGTACAGTAACATTACCAAGGATAGGGAAAAACGCACAGAGCTAATTCTCCCAACAGAACTCAGGGCAGCTGGTAATGAAATTTCAAGTTTTCACACTGGTCTGAAAGTGCGGCCTGTTTCGGCTTCTGGTAGAGGAAACTGACAGCGGGACGGGGAGCGAGGAGGACGCCGAGAGCGGCAGTGAGGACGGGCAGAGCGGCTCGTCCAGTGAGCAAGACAGTTCCAGCCAGTCCGGCTCTGACAAGAAGACGACGCCGAAGAAGAAGAAAGTCAAGAAGGAAGAGGATGAGAGGTAAACGTCATTTTTCACTGCAGCTTCTCCTGCTTGACGGGATTTCCCCACCCACTGTACTTGATCTGCTTTTCTAAATAATAGAAACGTCTGGTTGTTAAACGCAGAGGCAGAGGCAGTGCAGGTGGATGACCTTACTTGTGTTGTTGTGACCTTAATGTAATGTAATATAAGGCTTTATTGAAATAAAACAAATCTTGAATTTTGACTTGTTTGTTGCTCAAAAAGTAGAAGTAATGTGGATATTTGAAATGTACATCTAAAACCATTTATCCCATTAAGCAAAGAAAAAAACACTCCTTTTACCACTTAATGGCTTTACTGTAGACTAGATGTTAGCTGCAGTTAGTCGAATATTGCATGAATAATTGAAATTTACATTAACTGAATAACACTAATTATATACATCAGAAATGAAAAACAGTCTACATTGTGAAATGTCGTGAATGTTCATCTTTTACAGCATGATAATGCATTAAAATCGGCATATCTAAAAAGGAGCAAATAATAAAAAATTAGATGCTAATACTCTATGGTTCACTCCAGTTTTACACAGTCATGTCCACTGTTGCATTTATGGACAAGAGTATTCATTAATTCACAGCGATGTTTTTTTTTTTAAATGTGCAGGGTGCACTAAAGACTAAAGGTAAGGATATATTGTATTGTGGGTTTTTCGAAATACACCCAATGTGTTCCTTGTAGTTTTTTTTTCTCTCACAGGTTAAAATTAAATTAGTAAGTGTGCGTGAACTTGCTAAACTTTGCCAATTATAAGATGCAGTCTTTTACTTGCTTTCTATTTTTGGAGAAAACTGTTACAATTTTAAATATATATATATATTCTGTTTTTTTTTTACATGAATGATTTTTTTATCAATACCAATGTGTTCCTTAATTGGTAAGAAACCTTTGTTAGGTGTTACTATATGTTCGAAGCCTCCAATTGCCGCTCATGCAGGGATAGTCTTAAAGTGGAAGACGTGACCAATCTGACATGGCATCAATAATCTTCATCTCCATCTGTTATCTGCGCCTGTTATTTTTCACCCTTCGACACGCTCCCCCAATGATACCTGCTTCCTCAAGCAGCAACACAGCAGCAATCTGATTAAACTCTCTTCGAAGTGTAATAAGGGGAATATTCATAAGGTAATTTCGACAAATTTGCGTTTGTAATGGCTGTAGATTAGCCATTACCAGCTTCTGTTAGCATGAACCAAGTATTCCAATCATATTTTTCAATAATTAGGGTGCTAAGTGCTACCTCTGATGATGTGGTAGGTGTTTGCTGCGTCTCCTATGCGTCTGCAGCCAGTGGCCAGTGCTGTCTGTGGTTTCCAGTAAAGGCACTTTGATCAGTTCTCAGCTGTAACTCAGCTATGGCTGGCAGCCTGCACTCTGCTCCTTTTATTACAGACAGTAATTAAAGCAGCTCGCCCTGCCACTTCCATAACAAACACAGCATAATGCCCTAATTATGACTTTATTAATTTAAGTCAGGATTTAATGATTTTAAAAGTGATTTATATTGTTTTTCCTGTTCGGAACAAATGAAATCTGTAGTCTAAATTAATACTGGCTTTTCATCACTGCAAAGTTAAAAAGCCAGTTACCATCACATTCTTTTCATTAAATTAACATCCGAAATTCCAGGCAGCAGGGTAAACATTCATTATGTGGCAGAATTGAAATGGAAGAAAAAAAAGTGATAATGGAATATTGAATTACCTTTGCAAAAAGAAAAAAAAAAGAAATTTCTCCAGTTGTTCTGCAAACTTGTAACTTTGCATACCTTTGTTTTCATCTGACAAGGGGTGGGTCGTGTTATTTTTAACCTTCTTTCATAAGTTATTCATGATCAAGCTATCAAAACGTAGTGCTTAGTTCTCTTGTGAATAGAAATTTATCAGTAGCTGTTTTCCAACAGTTGTAACTTGAAAGGTGATGAATGTTTAATATTATCCATCCTGTCTATTTCATTGCAGTTTCTCAATTGTTCACAACATGTAGATGCTACAAACATTTTTCTAATGCTTTTTTGTGTGTAGATTCTATTATGTTGTATTACAATTACATTGTTTAGTATTGTAAATTAATATTGTTTAATATTTTGTGGTATTTTTAATTTATGAAATCAAAACACGTTTCTTTATGGTGCAAAGCTGCCATTCTGTGTAACCCTTATTTTTATCTTAAGAAAACAAGCTGCACTCATTTTATTGGCCATTTTCATCTCTGGGGTATTGCAACATTGGTATACAAATTTCCTTGCAACTACACCCTTGCCTTAAATTTCTCATTCTGTCTGGTATAAAAAGTAAGCTTCTGAATGTTTTCACAATGCAAATTCTTCATGATAAAAATATTATTTTGGTAAGCATATTTTGGAAACCCCTTGTATAATCTAAAAAGGAAACAATGGTGTTAACTGACATTTTAAAGATTCTGGGAGTGATCTGATATTAGCATGCTCTTTTTCAACAAACACTAAGCACTTATGGTCATTTCTGTTTTTTTTATAGTGAGAAAAGTGATTCCGGAAGACACAAAAAGACCAAAAAAGAATCCAAAACGAGAAAAGCTGAATCCTCGGAGTCTGAGGCAAGCTCTTCCTCTGATAGCTCCTCCAGCTCTGAGTCGGGCTCAGAACTGGACACTGACTCGGATTCCAGCGCCGACCTGAAGCTCAAGGCTAAACCCAAGGTGAGAGGCCTTCTGTACACAGGCTTTTTACTAATTGAATCCCTGTGTACTGTATGGGCGCACCAGGGATAGTTCTATAGCATACAGGTGATGATGCGTTTTTCAGTTTCTGTTCAAAATACGTTTGTTTTACACTTCTAGGTTGAGCCCATTCTATCAATGTACAAACTAGTATCTGTAATACTAGTTTGTTTTTTTTTCCCCCTTTCAAATATTTTTAAAATATAGATTTTTCATTTTTTTTCCTTATATCTACCTATTTTGGAACTGACAGGTGTTGTTCATGCCTTGACCACATCTCCTGCATCCATTGAGCCTTTGTATCTTTTCACTTTATCTTCTGATACAGTCCGAGCTCAGTCATAGCTGTCAGAGTTAGGTGTTGAACCCCAAGTTGACATTGACTCTGAACTCCTCTTCTCAAGATACAGTACACAATGTCACACACATTGTATTTACATTTGTATGTAAAGACTTTTGAGAAAGAAAAGATGGACAGCTCACCAATTCCCATCTTATGAGGCACATACTCATTGACAAACATGTTTTTGTACATACGCTTTAAATTTTTAAAAATGGCATGTGACAATTCCGAATCAATTTGAGGGCATAACAGTTGTGAGAGAAGATTCCAGCCTTCCTTGACTACTAATACTACTCCTACTATTACTGTACATCAGGGTTGAACTTTTCTTTCTTCTTTTAATTTGTAATACCTTCTTTCTCTTAACGTCTGACTGAAACACTATGACGATAAAAGTCCTGGCCCGCTTACTGCTGAGCCTGTACCACATATGTTGTGAGGTTGAGTTTTACAGGTTGTTTCTCACTTTGCTCAAGAAAGCCACTATAAAAACATATAGAACCCTATTGACACAGATGTGCCATGGACAAGGGCTAACTATCTCAATGAGAACTGAGAAAGGTTTAACTTACTAATTCCATATTTGCCCATGGTGACACTAAGGAAATTGCTTCTCTCCACTTAGTGAATCCTAGTCAAAGAAGACATGAGCCAGGCTCAAACGTGCAAAATGTATGCATTTTTAAATCCATAAAACGCCATCAAACAATTGTGGAATATCTCACTATTGCATACACAAATACATAATGACATCATGCTGATTCTTGGTTTCAGAATTGCCAGATTAAGCTGCTACACGGCTTAATCACACAGAGTGTGTTGTGTAGCAGCTGAAGTTGTGACATGGACAAACTCTACTGGGCTTTTTTCACCCTATATGTCTTAAGCACTGAACTGAAAGACCTCCTCTTATTTCTAAACATTCTTAGGTTACAAACATCTGGTACTGTACTGTTGTTGGTGGGACACTGCTGTTGAGGTCAAACAGCAAACAAAAAGTAAGGGTTAAAAATGTCAGTGTTATAGTTAATCTAAATCTGATTTGATTAGAAAAGTAAAGTTTACAAGGGGCAGCCATATATTTTGTTTTCAAAAAGAAATCCCCTGCAGGCACCCATTATATTTCTGTATCTTTCTTAATAAATATTAGTGTCTTAAGACTGTCAGTGTGCTTTTAAGACAGATTACTACAGGCAGTTTTGTTCAAGATAGAAGTTAGACCCTTGCATTAAATGGGGACTTTAAAGATCCCTCACTTGGTTGCACTGATCCTCTGTGACAGCTATTAGAAGAAAGACATGAGCAACTCTGTTTCAATTAATCTTTTCTTTTATTACTGTAATGTCATATTTGAAATCTATGACACATCTTCCATCGACGAAGTGTGTTAATTCCATCATTTATGCCACACTGTTAATAATATGCAGGAGGAAGATGGCTTCTGCAAAAAAAGTCTGAAGTCCAGCATTTATGTGCAACACACATTTGAAATGTAATAATTATTGTAATAAAAACTGTGCGGTTGTGCTTTTCTTATGTAAGCTTTAAACTGGATTAATCCACTCCACTGTCTTCCACTTTCGTTTTCCCTGGTATTTAGTCAGTCTCCTTAAAGGGTCATTTGAAAGCTTTTATTTTATTAGCACGTTTAAGGTGATTGCCTCACCTGTTCTAATTTCTAACCTAAAAACAGAACATTGTGTTCCCTACAAATTGACACTAGCATAAGGCTTAATGTCTTTCATGAACACTGTAATAACAAAGCAAACAAAATAAATGTTCACTAAACTGTTTTTGATGTTACTGCTAATACAGATATCACAATTTTGGTTCAGTACATTTAAATCAAAGAGAGCCCATGTTTTTCTGGCAACCACAAATTGTTAGGTGCCGTGCATAAATAGCTTGACAAGGCAAAAGAAAAATAAATCCAATTTTATATTTGCGATAAGACCAGTGTCAGAGGTTTGAACCACTTGGGGCTTGGTTTTCTTTTCAGTTAACAGGATTGCCTTTCAGTGTACTGTGCTCTGCTGGCTATTTTTTAACATGTAATATATAAAAGGATTGATAGCATTACTGATCTAGACAGGGTATGTGATCTCCATTTTCAAACACATTATTTATTATTTAGCCCCTCTGCTGTGATTTTGTTAAAGAAGGGGGTGGGGGATGTCAGCCAAAGATCTATTTTTCCAATTTAGAAATCCCCTGAAATCCAACTCATTTGTGGCTTGGATACATATCGGAATAAAACGTATAAATATGTAACACCATCTGTGAAGTGTTCAGATTCTCATATGCTTTTCTTTTTCTTTTCTTCCCTCAGCAAAAATATACAGAAACAATTTGTCTATATCTTTCCACACGATCTCCTTTCAAGTACTAACACAATAGCAACAGTGGGAGATCTGTCAGTGCATTTGGTTTGTCAATGATGGTGTTGTATAAATATAGGGAGGCTAAGAAATAAAATTTGCACAGTAAAATACGATTTCATCTGCCTTTTCTCTGCAGCTCCATTGCTCTTGCTGCGGTGTGAAATTCTCATTTTACACACTTTGCTGGTTGGGGCCATGAATTATGCATTGTGCCAGAGAAATCCTCAATCTCACGCTTCAAGCCCTGTGTGCATTATCCAGGTTCTATCTCTATTACCAAGATGAATTGTCGATTGGGGAATATTTGATAGGATATGGTTTTAACTTCATTGTTTGTTTTCTGTATTACAGTCTTCTTTGTGGGGGGTTTCTTTGTCTGTAGATACAGAGTGAAATTTTATGGTTCCTGAAAAAAATATGGTTATGAGAGCATGGTATGTAAGATAAAAGCATTCATAAGTTAAAATGCTTTTATACCGAGGGTGTTGTACTGAGACTTACTGTTATGCTATGCCAGAGCAAATAAAAGCACGTTATAATTCTCAGAGTAGAAGGTACTCTTCCAGGAAGATTTGTGATTCTTTGTAATACTCATGACACCAAAATTTGTCGAATACGTTTTATCTCCATTTGGCATAATATTTAGGTGAATATCGCATTTCACACTCACAAAAAAAAAATCACAAGACCTGACTGTAATATAGTTTGACATAGTTTGTAATCCAAACAGACGGGTTGCTTTAAATACATTTTGCTTAGTGTTTGTGAAGGCATTTGTTCTACCTTTATATCTTTATTTTCATTCATATTTTTAGGATCTTGAAGGGGTGAAGCTGAAATGTAGAGGTTTGCTCTATTAAACTGGTGAGAAAATGTCTTGTCTGGATTGCTAGTGCTGTGAATGAGATAATATACGTTTAGGTGTTTGGTCTGATTCCTTAATATGTCAGCCAAATGACTGATTAAGAGCTTCTACATTGCAGTGCAAGATTCTACATACAAGCAGGGTTTAAAAGAATAATGTAGGACACTTCAATGTATGCATCAGGTATATCATAATGCCTTGTATGTATTAAGACATTCATACCTCTAGTGTGATGTCTCTTACACAGTGTTACTCAAGTGCTGCACTTACAGCAATTTATGCTGTCCCCTCTCAACTCTGACCAGAACTCCCAGCCCACCTTGTCAGGTTAACAGAAAAACAAGGCAACTTACAATATCAATCAACAAATTAAGAATATTTAAGTTATATCCAAATATACATTTTGAATATGGGACTGGAATACTTTTTAGTTGCTGTAAGCATAGAACACTTTTCACTTTTCTTTGTGTTTTTGCTTTGCCATACAGTCAGATCCTTACACTCTTCATGAATATTTAAGGCAGGATCATAAGTGAAGTTTGTAGTGTTCATTCTGCATTCAAATGTCATTTTATTCTCCATATTAGTAGAAGCATAAAACATCTTGGCAACTTTTCAAGGTTAAGCACATGAGTGTCTGAATCTATTTATCTATTTATATTTGTTGCTAAACAGTCTTCCCTTTTTAATTTTTAAAATTTTTGTAGTGCTTTACATTGCAAAAATAGGGCAGTGTGAATTTTTTCACAAAAAAAGTAATTTTAGCAGTGCAAGAAGTCATGCTTAAAAGAGAAAAACACAAGGCTTATGAGCAATTAAGATCACAAATCACTTATAATTACTTCATATATCTTGCATTTAAAATAGAGGGTTCATAATTAAAATTAAGTAATAGTAACTCAGCATGGTAAAAATTGAAAGTAAAACAATTTTCCAGGTTCCAGTTAATCTTATATATTTAAAATGTAAAATTCTGTTACTATGATTCCCTTTTATAATGACGTCGTTAGCTGAGCCTCATAGCAAATTCACCTACCTTGATCTTTCACTGTTTACTGAGTATTTCCAGAGCAACTCTGTCCTTAGAGTGTGAGGGGATCGTGTCTTCACTAAGCATTTTCAGTAAGGAGATTTACATATAAAGAGACAAACTGCACTGCATTTAATGTTCTGTTTTTTTTTCTCTCCACAAAAGAGAAGGTGTTTTGATCAGTTCCCTGAAGGATATTGAAGACATCAATTTGTCTCTCTCAGTAGGAGGTGCCCTGGCACTGCAGCAACAATTTTAGAAACGGTTTTATTAGGAATGTAGGAATACTTTCTGTTTCTAAAACAATTATCTTGGAATAATAATCCTAGTAATATCCGGAATAATATTCCTAATCTTCAAATATTACCTTCTGTTTATTCAGAAATATGGATTTTCGGACTCATAACAACTGTAAATGTTGCTTTCATAACCCCCCACAATGTGCTGCACACACTGGAAAATTTAAATATGTAAGTAGGAAAATTACTGATGAGAGCAGGGCATTAGACTCATCTAACTCGTTTGGAAGTTAATAGTTAATTGATTCAAGGATCTCATCCAACTGAAAGATGGATGAGATTCTGGAGAAAGAAGCCAGAGTATTAGCTTGGGGAGGAAGTCATGGTATTAGCTTGAACAACATGGCTGAATAGCTTGTTCCACACTCCCACAACCTTTAAAGTAAAGAAGCATTTTCTGTGTCCTGATTTCTGTTTTAAATGCACTTCCATATAGATTTTTCTTTTGCTCTGTGAAGAAATCAGATGGGTTACCTTTGAGGATTTTAAAAACTTGTATCAGGTCCCCTCGTAAAGTTTTGTGTTCAAGAGTAAAAAGTTTCAGTTCCTTTTTTACTTTAGGTTTACTTGAGGTTCAGTTTGTCAGTGTAGGACATTCCCTTATTAAATAACATACTTTGATTTAAAATATATGCTTTTAATTAATTGCTTCACCACATTGTCTAAAAAATGTAAATAATGTCAACATAAACAGTTGTCTTTTTAGGGTCTCTGTCAGCATTTCCCATTTTGTCTTTATAGTTTGGTTTTACTCTCTACTTTCAAAATCTGCACTTGTGTACATTAAATAACAACAGCCAGGCGTTTAGAATTTTATCTAAATGTTTTGAAATTTAATCTGCTACTTCTACCTCCTATTTTTTATATATAGAGCACTTAAAATGCACAAAGCTTAAAGAAATGGTATAATAAATCAAACACGATAATAGCATAATAGTAAACTGAACAAAGTTAAAGTATAAAACATTAAAATGCACTTTTTAATGTAAAAGTACACAATAATGAATGTGTTAAATTCTAAACGACTGAATTTCAAATTAATTTATAACTTTATACTTAAGGTAATTTTAAAAATCTGTTTACTATTTAACTGGCATCCTGTGCAGAGTAACTAGAACAGTAGTAATGTTTTGTCATCTGTTTCAGGTGGAACTTAAGCAGCAGTTTTCTGCATGAGCTGCAAAATTTATTTACCTTGGCTACTTTCCCAACAACAGGCACAACCTGTTCTTTGCGAAATGTCTAAATTGATACGTATATTTAAGTGTTTATTTGCAAAATGTAGCTCAAAATAGTTAAATAAAATACCAAGATTTCCGTTTTCTCATTTTAAATAAGATAAATCCTTAATGTATATACCACGCAAGAGAAGTTGTTGCTGAGAACCTGATATCAGAACTTCTGGAAGATCTATGTCTAGAAGTATTTAGTCAGCTATCAATGCTTTGGCTTATTAATGACAGTTTTAAATGAAAGGAGCCATTATTGTTTGCAGACAATTGCTATGCCAAACGTTTCATTACTTAGATTATTAGACGCATCCTTCTACAGACTTGTTAAGGGATAAGGGGTAAGGGCTATAAAATATTAATGTAGATATTGTCTGTATTATCGTCATATTTTACACTTGAACAGTGATTAGTGAAGATGACTCCATCAAGGAATCCTCACATATATCAAGATGCATGAGAAGCACCAACTGGAATTTGTTCCCTAATAGTATGAATTTAAGAATGAAACTAATAAATCTGTCACACTTTTCCACAGTTTCATGAGTTTAAGATATAAGAAAAACATCACTATTTTAACTAACCAATTGCTTAATTCCTTTCTTATTGTTTGTATGTTTTCTGTCATTTACACCCTTGATGTGTTTTGTTTGCAATCTTGTCCTGTTCTGTAGCGAATGAGAATATTAAAAGATGGTTAGAGCTTTATAGAGAAATCCTTGTAATGTTTTTAATGGAAAACATAAAAGTTGTAACTTTCTTTTAAAGACCTGTTTAACTTTCCTTTTTGCATGTTAAATAAAGCTACCCAATTTTTATAGTTACATAGATTAGTGAATTTTTAAATGTTAAATAATAGATATTTGTTCTGGAGAAGCTGCTATTTGACGTGATAATAGAAATTTAGGTTTAAAACACCCCTGTGAGGCTATCTTAAAAATTCTTGCACTATGTATTCAGATTTCAAAAATCCATGCTTATTACCTGAGTATACATGATTTTCATACTGAACGCTGGGTGTGTGTTTCTACAGCCCATACTTAAGAAGATAAGTATCTGCAGAACAGAGAATACTGTGTAATTGGATTAAAGCAAACATTGCTGACTTTAAATCCTTTTAAATGCAATTTCATTTTTGCTTTTGTGTAAAACGAGTTTCACTGACTGTCTCATTATATTTCAGTTTGATTTTTTGTGCTCAGGTGCTTACTTTTGAGAAGAATAATTAAATCTTAGCGGCCTTTTCGTTCCTGTTGCATCTCATGATAGCCTCCGCAACATCACAACCTCAGTGTTGTGCTGACTATTTTTTTGTTCAAATTCTTAAGTATTTAAGTACACTATTTTTCAGTTTGAAAATTAACCTTCATGTGTTCCTTTATTCCAAAATTGGGTGAACAGAATTAATTGTTGTTGGACATAAACTACAATGTATACTGTATCCAGTGTTAAGACTCAGGGTTTCACTGGGGAACCTGTGTCTCATTGCCAGTAACCAGACAGACAAACTGCGATATTGTTAAGAAGCTGTATCAGGTCTTTCCTTGGCTTTAGTCTAATTTTGTGATCAGAGGTTGAGAGTAGGGACACCCTTCTAGTAGAGTGTTGCCATTTAGATTTAGATCCATTGAACTATTTAGATCCATATGGTGGATGTTCATGCATAAAGGTTTGTGAACAGAGACATTTTTAAGTTCTACAGCACTGGTTAAATAAGCAGATACAGGTTCGAGGCACTGGTTGCTATCCATACTTTAGCTCATTTTCAAGTGATGGTCTTCCATATTTATAATTTTTTTCCCCATCTTAAGCCGTAATGGAGGACACCCTTGAATCTTGTGCATTTTCCTTAGCCTTGAATTCTTCCTTGTGCAAAAATCTAACTTTGGAACACCAACCAGTCAGTGCCCCTGGACAAAAAGACACCGGCCTGTGTCATCCAAGGTTGATAATATAAAAATATTAAGTATTTAGAGTATTCTTTACATATATTTTTATTAGCAGCTTTCTATGCAGTAGTTATATTTTAAGGGAGCAAAAAGCTCATAAAGCTTTTTGATTGTCCTCAAGTTCTTTGTACAACTATAGAAAAATGGTATTTAATTGTTAACCAGGCCATTTTTCTGTAGGCTGTAGTGTTAATGGACACTTTTGACAAAGTCTGGTTTCAGCAAGGGTTTTCTACATGCAGTTTTTCATTTTTCAAGGGATCTTTCTTTTCTCAGTGTCTTTAGCAGATTTTTTTATTATACATTTAACTACTAATATGTTGTTTGAACGTCAGTCACATGGAGGCTCACGGTGAGAAAAATGAATGCTGCTATAGTGAGAAGAATTAACGATGCTATAATAAGCATTAAGGCACAACAGGGAACTTCTTACATTGAATAATGGCAGGCAAGCCATCGCAGTAAATCAGACCTTCAGCGTCATGTCTCTGACCCTCTGGATCTCTGACCATCATGCCAACATGCTGTTTCGTTTTGTTTCTTTATTGTGATGGCTGAATTGTTGAAATCTAATTGCAGCAAGTCGAGATGTTCACGTCAGAACTTGAGAGTCTGTGTAGTTGCTTCTGTCTGTTTCTTGTAGGAATTTATATATGACTGCTTCAGATTGAATGAGCATGAAGAAAAGCTTCACACATGTTTTGGGAAGCTGAACTTAAATCAGGGTTATAGTGGACAGTCAATCCATCAGCATAGATTGCAAAGAAAATAAGTCTAGTAACAGATATCCAGGAAGCAGTCCTCAATGTGGAAATAATTGACTAGTCTCACTGTGAATAATAGCAGTTTCATTCATATAAAATGAAAATATTTTTGAGCATTAAAATTAGAGATGGAAAAATTATTAAATATTATGCATAATTCTTACAAACGTTTGTGTTATTTCTACAGAAGGAAGAGAAGAAAAAACAAGAAATCTCCTTACTGGATCTGGATGACTGTGAGTTGTATTCCAGAAAATAACATAACCACTTTCACCAATAAAATATACAGTAGATTTTCTTATTTAAGTTCGGCTTTGGCTCCTTTTGGACTGATGTTAATATGGGATTGGCTGCGTGGAGGCCCAGATTCTGGTTTATCTGGGAATTTTGCCTTTTGTAGTGCAGATATGGCTAGTTTTGAAATTCTGGGGAGGTAAAGTTGTGGGGCCCTTCTGTGACTCATTAAGTATTAATGCACTTACCCTCTTAGTAAGAACTCTTGAGTTTGTTTCTCAGCTACCAGTCTCTTCAAGTTGGGCACAAGTTGTGATACTGAGATCAATAGCACAGTATGCATTTGGGCCACCTGTCAAGCTTGGATTTGCTCAGTTTCTTTACCAAGAAAGTGTCTTCTCAGATATACAGTATATGGTGCAAGATACTATGAGCATTCAGATGTTGAATATTTACAAATGATCAATTTCATCACCGAGAAGCAGTGAGTAAAACTTTAATTGTGAATTCCATCAGAAGAGGGACACATCCTTTATCCAGGCTAATAACAACAAAGTGGTTTGCAAAACAACCAATTTTCAAATGCATATGACTTGAGATTTTTTAGGACAAGCCTGGCCAGTTTATTCATTTTGCCATATGGTCAAAAGAAATTAAACCTTGAACATTTCTCATTTAGATTGAGTTCTTCATACACAGTGCTCCTTCATCTAAGTGTCTTTAGGTTTGCCTGAAGGGCTTTTACGTCTGTGCATTAGTGAAAGACATTACTTTCTTTACCTTGCAGCTTCGAACTGGGGTAATTCAAGTGTGTTAAGAAAGTCTCAGATCCTACAGCCATGCCTGGTCTGAGAATTCAGGGTCATTTAGACACTTTTCTGATAAAAACCCTTCTAATTTCACTCCACAAGGCAAAAAAGAGTTTGTGCACCATTTAGACAACGCACCTCACTGTGGTAAAGCACATGTTCTGAATCAGTTTCCCTCGAAAAGGTTTGAAATGTGCGAGGGTTTGGTCCATGTGCTCCGAGTGTATTTAGTAATTTAACCAAATTTAGAGCTTTGTCACACAGGTGGATAAGGCAGGGTGACTCTGTCGGCCTTATAGGATTACATGAATGACCTTGCACAGCCAATGAGTTTACTCCCATCAACATTCACAGCATCCCTTATGATCAGACACATCCAAGATGAGCCAAGGTTTCCCATGGTTTCGGAAAGTCTGTGAAATAGTTCTTCACCTGTTCTCCTCTCCCGAAGCATCCAAGTTATTTCAAAAGGCTCTTCTTTTGTTCCCACAAATAAAACATGTTATGATCCTTTACCATATTTATATGTGTGTATGTATACATATGTATACTTGACATGTGAAGTCAACCCTTATAACACTATGGTTTAACAGAAAATGATTCATTATGAATATTATGGAGGCTGGCTTATCAATTAGCAGGTGATTTAAGGCCTTAAAACATCCATGTGGACTGGGTCCAGTCTGCAGACCTTAGTATAAAATGTAATGAAAATAATAAGTTGTACATTATCCTGTAATCACACAAAGGCACGCAGATCGCTGTGTTATTAAAATTCTCAGGAAATCCATGCTCTACTCTTTTTCAGTTGCTCCTGTATCGGTACCCACAGCCACGCCCAAGTCATCTGTTCTTTCTCCCAGTTTGTCACGAGATCTGGAAGGCCTGTCTTTAACAAACATCTCCCCAGCCATTGAAGTAAGTGAATCTGTCGAAGTTTGTGTGTTGGCAGTGCTGAAACTAAAACCAAAATCCATTATCCTGCAACACATTTTATAAAAAAATAAAATTGTGTCTTCAAACATTAAGTTAAGCATTATGGGATTGCCTCTTCCTTTGTGGCTTTTGTGTATACATTTTGTGTTCTTATTTCTGGTTATTTCATTTGGCCATGTAACACAATGGCAGCATTTTATTTCCCCCCCGAACCCTGCTTGAGGAATATCTTCTCAGTAGTATTTTTTCTTTGCTGACCTTCCCCCCCCCCCCCCACCGTAGGCTGATTGTACAGTTCAGACTATAAGTAGAAGATAACATGTTCCACCTGAACATCTCCAAATCCTCAGATTTGTCAGAGCTCCTCACTGCACCCTTTCTCACTCGCTGTTCTGGTGTCACCGTAGACACCTTTTTGATTGTTGACCTTTTCCACAGTGATGACTATTTTTTTCATTTAAAGAAATCTTCTGCCAGGTGGTGGTTTAAGAGAAATGATATCTTCTTGTCTGTGCCTTCTGCTTTGCCTTTGACATAATTTCCATGGAAACTCCCTCACCTCAGCCCCACCACACTTTTTTTTTTAAATGAGTTACTTTCTCTGAGCCTTCAGGTTTGTTTTCTTAACATGTCACATTTCCTCACGGAACTGGATTGGATATTGTCTGGTGTCATTTGTATTGCTCTCTTTCACAAACAGCTGTTTAAAAATATCTTTCATTTCTCGAGAGAGAAATGCTGTCCCATTTTCCAGCCATTCATTTATTAAATGTTAACTTCACCTGCAGTGCTGTCATTTGTAGGGGCATTGTGTTATATTTTTAAGAGTTCAGTGCTAAGCATTAGTTATCAGTAATGCACATAAACTAATCCTTTTATGTAACATACAAAAAGCTGTCTCCAATTCTAAGGTACTGTATAATCTCACTGGAACATAACACAATCATGACTTAATGAAAATGAATTCCACATGCATATCTTGGGTCATCATTATTCAGGATTTTGATTCAGGTTACGATAGTTTTCTTTCATGGGTAATGTCATTGTGTTAATTTGTCAATCATGATTTTGGCCCTAACTAAATAGCAGTAAAAAGTTGAAAACAAATTAATTGCACCTGCATTTTTGCCAAGAAAATGTGATATTGTATATTAAAAAGTCTGTGAAATTGTAATAACTCTTTTGACAATTGTGTAAATGTTTCAATGTTGTATTATTTAAAAAAATGAAACTAGAATATAAATATATACAAAAATATGTTTGTAGATAGCCACATTGTAGCTGAACCTGAGAGGCTTTTCTGTCATTATACAGTCACACAAAACAAAAATAATGTGCATCTTTTAGCATAACTCACATTTTGGGGGGTTTGTTTTACGTTATCTTAAAACAGTTATGTTATCGATAAAACTTTATTTTAGCATTTACTCATTGATTTTTCCACACTCAAAAATACTTCAATGTGTTAAAACTAAAGCACGTTTCTTGACTAAACATAAATGACATTAACCAGCAGTCCATTGGTGTTTTACCTTTGATATCAGGTCAGTCTCTGCTTGGCACGTTTACTGTATGTCCATCTCTAGTGATTTACAGGTAGTGGCCAAGAAATGGGAACATCTGGATAATTGAGGGACACCAAGTTTGTTGAAAGCATAGTGTTCCCAGAAGCCATTTAACCTACCAGTATGTCTTTGGACCGTGGGAAGACACTGGAGCACCACCCTGAGAAAGCCCATGCAAAAACAGGGAGAACATACAAACCCCACACACACGCACCACCCCAGGTCTGGAATTGGAGCCAGGGCCCCAGTGCTGTGAGGCAGCAACGTTCACAACAATTGAGTTGTGCAAAGAGCGCAGGCATTGGGATATAGAGCCATAATCTCAACAAACACTTGAATGCAGATGAGGCACAAACCTGAATAACTCTACTGTCCTGACTGTTTGGCTCCAGTAGTGAAGGGTTCTACCGGTTCTGTAATGTTATGGGGCAGGGTTTGGGTGCACTCATTCCCTTAGAAGCCAAGATCAGTGTTAATCGATACTTAAATGTATAGAGTTATTATCTTCTCCATGTGTTCCTGCCCAAAGGGGTGTCTTTCCATATGACTATCACCATCCGTATCGGTACCAAGTGGTTTGCCAAATTGACACTAGTGTTATCCGTATATCATGGCCTTCTCAGTCATCTAAGCTAGACTCAATTAAACATTTGTATGGCATATTCAGAAAAGATGCCCAAGATTTTTTTTCACCTCCATTGAACAGTTGTGAGCTGATTAACTTTCTCTCTGTGCTTCTCCTTTCCTTAGATTTCCAGATACAGGTAGACTGTGTTGTGGCCTGTATAAGCCATGCTGGCCACACATGGTGTCCCAAGGTCCTGTTTAGAGAGTTTATATTGGCGTTTCCATTTTATGTTCATTACCTGTATATGTGTGATTTAACTGTAGGAATTAATCAATTTTTGTTTGTTTCTCTAACCTGAAATTTACTTCACAAATCACAGTAGAGGAAGCCAATATAAAAGTAGAGACAGAATGCCTCTCTTGCTAAGGGCATAACACCCTACTGTGTATATGGTGAGTAATATGGGCAGGAAGATGATAAAACATTAACTCTGGGACTGAGATCTATGGTACAGTAAGATATATGGCCAGCAGCCATATCACTCTGCAACTCACAACTGGCAACCCACCGAAGCTAAGCAGGTGTGAGCCTGGTCAGTACCTGGATGAGACCTCCTGGGAAAAACTAAGGTTGCTGCTGGAAGAGGTGCTAGTGAGGCTTGCAGGGGGCGCTCACCCTGTGGTCCATGTGGGTCCTAATGCCCCAGTATAGTGACGGGGACACTATACTGTAAACAGGCGCCGTCCTTCGGATGAGACGTAAAACCAAGGTCCCGACTCTTTGTGGTCATTAAAAATCCCAGGGCATTTCTCAAAAAGAGTTTCCCATTGGCCCTTACCAATCATGGCCTCCTAATAATCCTCCTCTATGAATTGGCTTCATTACTCTGCTCTCCTCCCCACTGATATCTGATGTGTGGTGAGCGTTCTGGCGCACTATGGCTGCCTTCGCATCATCCAGGTGGATGCTGCACATTGGTGGTGGTGGAGGGGAGTCCCCATTACCTGTAAAGTGCTTTGAGTGGAGTGTCCAGAAAAGCGCTATATAAGTGTAAGCAATTATTATTATTATTATACTTGTTTTGTTGTAGCTTAAAACTCAGATAAGTGTATAAATGTCACAATGAGTTTTACAGCAGTTTAAACACAGTTATACATTGTACATAGACTAACTTTCATCAATTTCCCTACGGGATTAATAAAGTATTATCCATCTATCTAACTCAAAGAGGGCTTTTAATACATTAAAATTTTGCCTTCACAGATATTCAATCTGGAAAAGTTTAGGAAGTAAAGCAGCCTGAAAAAGTTGGTTTTGTTTACCCTGAATAGTTAAAATTGCTTCGTTAGAGGGTTAATATATTGAGCTCTCTTGTATATATTTAGTTTATTCCAATTATGTGATGGTGAAAATTAGTGTTTTAACTACAACAATTTTGCTTTTAATCAGCACAAACAACTCCTTTTAAACATTTGTAGGTGTGAGGAACTCCTTATCTTACTTCAGTAAATCAGTTTCTTTAATTCCTTTCCCAGAGGGGTTGATTTTATGTTTTTTTTATAACTGCACCTCACTTCTGTATCATATAAACCCCTTGCAAAAAAACACAATATGAGCAACCTGAAAAAACATTTTTGTTGCAGATTTAACTGTGTCCAAAATATTTTTTTTGTTTTAATTATGTTTCTAAAAGCCCTCAGAGAAAAAGTTTCATTAAAACACTTTTGTAAGCATTCCAAGTGGATTTTATGTGTAAATATTTCTGAAAGTTCAACTACATCGTCACAATTAATAATGTTCCTAAATGTGGAATAGACACAAATGTCTGTATTATCATGTTTTAACAAAGCTTTGATTTTTTTCACAACTTATTTCGGGGGAAAAAAAAACACTAGGTGATAATATGTTACTTATATTGTTCTACCAAAATGTATGTGTTTCTGTGAAATATTTAATGACTAAAAAATGGAAGTTCTTCCACTGCAGTTTAGTGAACCAGGAAAAATACTAGGATATATATCTCAATGCTAGTGTGCTACCTCAAGTTCAAAATTGTATAGAATAAGCTTTAACCTTCCTTCATGTAAAAGGCCAAATGAATCATATTAAAGTCCTCTGAACACACCGCTCCAACAGTCAGAAATTAATTAGTAGCTAAAGAATAGAGATAGAAGGCAAATAAATGAGAATGTGACCCTAATATTCCTTATATGTGCAGCATTTTCTATTCTTGGAAAATGCCCCGACAGGCTATTATACAAATCTTCTCGTTCTGTAATTGGATATTGCTTTCATAAATGTGGATCTATCTAATGAATAGATAGCTTTGGGTCTCATCAACTGCTCAGTGGGTCACAAAGTGGGATTTTGTGAACCTTTTCTATTTAGTTATAGCACTTAATAACATCAAATTGGCTTGAAATATTTTTGATAGACCTACAGTAGCAAAGGTATAGATTTTGAACATATTAAAAACTCTTTAATTAAACTGTTTAATTTGATAGTTTTCATCTAATGTATGAGTATCTTCTCATAAAATACTAACTTTAAATTGCATCAATTAATCTTTTAGTTGCTTTCCATATGATTCTCCTTGTATGTCATCTTTTATTTTTCTAGTGGCACAAGCAAATGCAGAAATACAGTTTTAAGTGCAAGTGGTGAACCTAAAATTTTCTTAACTGTATATGTATAAACATATATGGAGAGTAGGAAGCTAAACAGAGCCTACATTTGCCTGTCCTAGAATTTGTCTCTCTTAGAATTTTCCAATTGGCATACTAATTCTGAAATGTAATAAAAAGCAACAATAAAACCTAAATGGCATGTGAATCTGTGTTATGTTTTGT